TATTTTATATATTAATATATTTATTTTTTATATATATTATGTAATTTTTATTTTTTTATTTATTAATATCTTTTTTATTTAAATTTTTCATATATTTAATAATTATAAATTTATATTTCTAACATTATTTTATGTATTTATTTATTATCCTAAAGGTAAAAATTATTTTTTATATATAAAATATCCTGGTATTACTGAAAATATTATTAATAACCAATAACAATTTTAAATAATTTTCATTTTTTAAGATATTTCACCACAATCATTTTCAAACATAAAACTGAGATATATTATATTAATGCTTAAATTAGTAAATAAAAAAACATCTTATAATTTTAGATTAATAAATAATTATAAATCTATATGAGCTTATTTTTCATTAATTATTATATATAAAAAATATAATAAAATAAAATTATTTAATAATATTAAAAAATCACATAAGTATTTTATTGAATTCGCAATATCTATCATTGTTTTACATTTAGTATTTATTAAATTCTAATCATAGAATTATAAATAATATTATAATCCTAATAAAAATAAACTCTTAATAATTAAAATTAATGATTCTTTAATATAATTCATAAATTAATATAAAATAAATATATATATATAAATATAAATATATATAAATATAAATTTATCTATATTTATATATTAATATATATTTATATATATTAATTTATTAATATATATACATTTATTAAAATATAATACATTTATTTCATTTTTTTTCATTATTTTTTTTATTTATATAAATTAAAATAAAACATCATTAATCTATATTTTTACTTTTTTTATTTTAATTATTTTTATAATAAATTGTATAAAAATTTAATTATAATCTATAAAATATAAATTTATACTATTTTGTTTTTTTTTATATATCTTTAATTTTTATTTTATATATTACTTAATCATTTAATAAATAAATAATATTCTTTTTTTATTATTTTTTTTTACTATAATATTTATAAATAAAATACTGTATAAATAAATTATTTTGAAAAGTAATATATAAATTTTAATTTATATGTTTTATATTTTATAAATATATATAATTATAAATATTTTTATTTCTTTATATAATAATTCAAATGTTTTTTTTTTATTTAAAAAATTAAATAAAAATATTTTATAAGTAATAATACAAAAATAAATATTATATATAGAAATTCTTTTATATTATTTTTTTCAATTTAAAGGAAAAGGTTAACTAAATTATTCAAAATTATTATTAAAAGAATCTGAATTTTTCATTTAATAAAATTAATTTTAATTAAAACTATTAATATTTCCTTAATTATGTTAAAATATTTTATTAATATCTGAATTAGTTTAATTAAAAGCACTTCCTTAAGTTTGTTAAAATGTTTTAGTATCAGAATTATTTTATTGATCTTAACCATTTATTAAATTATTCACTTATTACTATTATTATTATACATAATTAGCTATTTATTCAAAATTTAATCCTTTTTATTATTAATCATTAAACTCAGATTAAATATCAAGAATTTTACTCGAAATATTATTTTATTATTATTAAATATCTTAAAAATCAACTTCTTCTTATTAAATAATTCTAACAAACTCAGTAACCTTTGAAAACCTATTAATAATATCTTAAGCGACAACATTTTTTAATTCATTTAATTATTTAGCGAATCTATCTACATTAAATAAGGATCCATTATTACTTATTTAGGTTAATATAACTTATGAAATATCACAAATTTTTGAAAGATTATTTTTTTAAAGTTAATTTACATATTAATAGAGTTTCGAAAGTTATGTTTTGTGTTACATATCATATAATTCTTTTATTAATTAGACATTACTTTGGGTATTTTAATAGGAAATTTCTTACTTTTAAGGAAATGCTTAAGGGATATATTATTATTGGATTGTTTTGAATGAAATTATTTAGTTTTTAAATTACTTATAGCGGTCAATAAATACTTTATAATGTTAGTCTATATGTTAAGAAAGCTCTATTTTTAAATCTTCTAAGAGATTTGCTAATTCTAGTTTACTATGTTCGATACTTTTGAAAATTTTCTGTTTTTCTTTTTCTACTCTTTCACGGAAATTATATAAATTCTTTTTTAATTATTTTTTTAGATTTTTTTTTTTTTTAGTTTTTTTTTTTTTTTACTTTTTCTTCTTCACTTAATAAAAATATAGTGTATTAAGGGAAATTGTCTTGATCATATGCAAAAATGTCGGAAGGAATATGTATTTTGTTTATTACTTAAGGATTATTATTTATATTTATATTATTTTATTAGATGTTTATTTATTCTTAATATTTTTTTTGACTATATTAACTGTAATTATCTTTCGTTCTTATAATTTTATATATATATAGATATATATATATATATATATATATAATATATATATATATATATACTTTTATTATTTTACCTTTATATATAATCGCTTTATTTTTCACATGAACTCATTCTTTTGAAATTATTATTATAAGTATTAATTTTTTGATTACTTTCGAAAGGATTTTTTCTTTCTAAGCTGCTGTTTTTTAATTAAGGGTTTCTGTTATTATATATAAAATTATTATTTTAATTTTTTTGGCAAGTTTTATTAATATCATTTTCTATGGTTAGATTATTAAAGGAATTTTTTGTAGATTGTTCGTAATTATTTGGTTTAAAATTATTACTTTAGAAAGATTATTAAGATAAAATAATTGCTTCTTGATTTTTGTTTTAATATTGTTTAATATTTTGTATGAAACAATTATTTTCGTTTTCTTGATTGTTTTGAGGAACTTTGTTTATATATGGGTTAAGATTTTTTAAATCATATTTTTTTATTTCGAACTCTTTTTCATTTAAATTTTAGTTTTTGGCCTAATATATGTTTTAAGAATAAAAATCATTTTTATGTTTTTCAATCATTTTTTTTATTTATTTAAATTTAAATTTTTATCTATATATATTATGTATTTGTTAAATTTTTATTTTTTAATATATATTATATTTAAATAAAAAGCAGTAACTTTTATATTTTCTAATAAAAACTTTGAATAAAAATAGAAAAACAAAACAAAAAAATAATATATTTATTCATTTTTATATATATTTATATATATTGAATTGTTTCAACAACAACCAAAAGATTTTTTTGTCTAAATATTATTTTTTTATTGTAATTAGAAATTATTAACTATAGAATTATCTGTTTCATTTCCTACTTTAATACCGTTAGACTAAATTTTAATATAAAATAATATTTTTAAAAATATATAAAATATAATAAAAAAAACAACTTCTTAATTTGGATTAATAACTCCAGTATTAATTTTATCGAAAATCATTTTTGCATTTTAATGAAATGCTTCTTCAATATTTTATGATGTTTTAGCACTTGCTTCTAAAAATAATAAATTATTTTCTTTTGCGAAATTCTATGCTTCTTCGACACTAACTTATCTCCTATATATAAAATAAAAATATATAAATAAATATATATATAAATAAATTTAATTTTTTATATATATATTTTATTTATATAAATATAATATATCAATAATATTTTAATTATTTTATAATTACTAATCTTCCAAATCACATTTATTTCCTATTAAAACAAAACTTAAATGAGGATTACCATTTTGTTTAGCTTCTTCTAGCCATCTTCCTATATTTTAGAAACTATCTTTTCTATATATTTAAAAAAATTTATTTTTATTTAATTTGTGTATGTGTGTTTTTTTTTGTATTATTGCCTTGTTATATCAAAAACTAATAAAGCACCAGCTGCTGATCTATAATAAGATCTTGTAATAGATCTAAAACATTCTTAACCAGCCTTTTTTTTATTTTATTTAATTAGATTTTATTAATCAGTATTTTTTATAAAAGTTAATATTTTTAATTACAGTATCCCATATTTAAATTTTTATGTTCTTATTTTAAACATTTATCATTCTAGCCCCAAATTCAACTCCTATGGTAACATCATGCTTTTCTTTGAATTTTTTATCAATAAATTATGACAATACACAACTTTTACCAACACCTTTTTTATTTTTTAAATTTCTTTTTTTGATAAATTTCTATTTAAAAACCTGTATCACCAATTATAATATATTTAAATAAATAAGAATAAGACATTTTTTTTTATTTATTTTTTTTCTTTTTTTTTTTAATTTTTTTTATTTTTTTTATATGTATGTTTTATATATTAATTTTGAATAATTTATTTTTAATAAGAAATATATTTTTTTGATAAAAAAATAACAAGAAATTTTTTATTTGCTTTAATAAAAATATAATTTAATTTCTGATAAAAATATATAACATTTAAATATAAAAATTAAATAAAGGAATTTATATTTAATTTTATTATAATTATTTATAAAATGAATACATGAAAAATATATCTTATATGTTTTAATTAAGTTTTTTATTTTTATAAATTAATAAATATTAAACAAATTATTGTATCTTTACTATCATTAAAAACACAATATTGAAATCAAATCAATGTAAATTTATTTATAATTATATTAAATAATAAATATTGAGATTAAAATAAAAACTTCATATAAAATTTTATTAAAGATATATTCTATATTATTTATTATATATTTATAAATGATTTATATTTAAATAAAAAAGATTATTTTATAAAAAAAAGAAATTAACATTAAAGAACTATTTATAACAATAAGAAATATTATAAAAATTAAAAGTTTATTATTATGATGAAAAAAATATATATATATAAAATATTTAATTTTAATTTAAATAATTATAATAATTAGTTAAAAATAATAATAAAAATAAAAAAAGTATATAATTATTTTTACAAAATGATAATGAAAAATAGAAAAAATAATAAACTAAAAAAATAAGAGAATTTGAAATAAAATGAAAAAAAAAAAAAAAAAAAAAATTAAATAAATCATATTTCAATTATATATAAGAAATATTAATTATATTTTAATATAATAATATATTATAAAATTTCATTAAAAAAAAAATTATATTATATCTTAATAAGAAATATATAATTTTTATAAATTAAAATAAAAAAATATTAGATATTTTATTTTTCTATTAAAAATATATTATTTTAAATATTATAAAAAAAATAAAAAAATTTATAAAAGACTTAATATATAAATAAAATAAAAATAAATATAGGACAAAAATTAAAATTTAAATTAAAAAATATTATAAATATAAAATTAAATATATATAATATTATATACCTAAAAATTTATAATATATAGAAAGAATATAAAAAAAATAATATATATATATATAAGAAAATATATAAATATATATATATATATATATTTTATATTTATATATATCTTTTTTTATTTATATATATTCTATATATTTCTTATCTTTTTACTTATTTATTATATATATATTCATTTTTATTAATCTATATCTTAATATGCTTAATATCTGTTCATAAATAATTTAAACTCTTCGAAATCATTATTATTAACAAATTTTATTAATTATTTATTAGAAGAATTAAAAAATCCAGGTACTTTTTCAATAATATCAATCATACTTGGGTCATTTCTTTATTTTATAATTACATAATCTAGTATAAATTTCTTTTTTTCTTTAAATATTTATTAAAATATAAAAATTTAAATATTTTAAATATATAAAAATATACCCTTATCTTTTTTAACTTCATCATAAAATAATAAAATATCATCTACAGTAGCTATTATTAAAGATTCTTTAAAAGATTTGGTAACAGTACCTATATCTCTTAGAATTTTATATTTTTTCTAAATTAAAGGATGATATGATAAATCAATGTCTTTAAATTCAAAATTACTCACAAAATTATTTAAATCTGAAAAATTCATTTCTTTTTATTATTATATATTTAAAGTTTATTTAACTATTTATAAATCTTATTCGTTTAAAACTTTATTTATAGCAAAGCTATTGTTTATGTCATTTAAGTAATTTAAATTTTAAAATTTGACAATTGTTTATTACATATATTATTAATTACCATATGTTTCTTAATATTTCTATAAATACTAAGTAAATACTTTTTTATTGTTTCTAATCTTTAATCTTTTTATTTATTAAAATTTCAACGATAATAATATAAACTATATATATATATATTTTACTTTCCATCTTAATAGCATTTTACCAATAGTTTAATATTTATAAACCTAATTCTTTTTATTGAGTTACTTACTAAAGTGCTAATTATCTATATTTAATTTCATTATTAAGAAGATCTTTTTTTTATTTCTTTTATTTAAATGCTTAATCTATCATTTCTGTGTATAGTTTATTATATTATATATTTTTTTTATTTGTAGTTTATGAAATTTTATCCAGTTTAGAACTACTTTCGTCTATGATTTCTTTTTATTATTTAAGTTTTTTCTCGAAATCCTCACTTTCTGTTAAAAGCATATCTTTTATTAAATTTTTTCTAAAAAATTAACAAAATTCAATACATTTTTTGATTAGTTTTGCATTAATATATCTGTATCTTTAAATGCATCCTAAAGATCAGGATAACTTTATATATATATAATTTTTTATATATTTTATTTATTATATATTACTAATTAAATGCTGTTTAGTTTTTTTCATTTAGTTATTCAGTAAATGTATTAGCTAATAAAGGTAATTTAGAAGATAGACTTTTTTAGTAGTTTTATTCTTAGTCTTTTTTTTCTTTAAAAAATTTTACTATTTATTACATTGAGTTTTGTGAAATAGCTATCTTTTTTTGTAGTTTACAATATATGTTTTCTAAAATAGACTTATTTTCTTTTAAATATTAAATTCTTTTGCTATCCCAGATTTTAAGAGTATTATAAGACTAAATAAAAATATATATGTATTTTTTTTTATAATTTTTTTTTTTAAATACATTTGTTTTTCTTTCATTACATAATTAATGGACTACGGAATTTTACTAAAATCTTTCTTAAGATAATGTCCTTGCAATACCTATATTTTGGAGTTAATCTTCGAAGTTTTCGCCTTCTTGGTTATTTATTCTTGGAGTTGTTGACGTACGATCTTTAATTTCAGAATATTAATTCCAGTATTCTTCGGATTACTACTTATCAAATGATGGGGGTTTAATTATATTTTAACTAGTATCTATTTGAAAAGGATTTTAATTAGATAATTAATTATCTTACATTTTATTATTTTTTGTTTTATAATATAAAAATAAAAATAATAATATAAATATTTTATTTTAAAATCTATAAAGATAATAAAAATATATTATTATTAAGTATATTTATTATTTTTTTACTTTAGATTTAATATTCATATAATAAAAGAAAATATATATAAAAAAATGGTTTTATAAAAAATATGATTTAAAGGTATTTTATCTTAAAAAAAATAATAAATTATCAACTTTATTTAAATTATATATATGTATTTATTTGTATAAAAATCTAAAAAATATTTACTAAAATAATTTTTATTAATTAATCATGTTTTTTTATTTCTAAGATAAATTAATTAAAAAAAAGGCTAAAATTTATTTTTACCTTTGTAAATAATGCATTTTTATATATAACAATATATAGTTATATTCTAAATATAATAATTAATTTTCAAATAAGTATAATATTCTAAATAAAATAACAAATTAAATATAAATTAAATAATTATTTGTTATTTTTATTATTCAATTATAATTTTATTATTTTTACATTTTTATCGAAATAAAATAAATATTTTTACCGATAAATAAAAAAATATAATTATTAAATTAATAATAAATAAAAAAAAAATATTAATTTAAATATTACAAACAAATTTACAATTAATAATTACCTTAATTTTTTTTAATAAAAATAAAGAAATTTAATCCATTTTATATTAAAATAAAAAATATTAAAACAATGTATAAAAAATTTAAATAAAATAAACTAAATATATATATATATATATTAATAAATTATAATTATATTATATTAATTAATTTAATATAAAAA